CCCCCCACACCCAGGGCCCCCCACCCATCGTGTCCTCCCCAAGACCAACCGCCCCCTGCATCCCCATCATTGTCAAGACCAACCATCGTGTCACATCTCCACCACCACCAAGCACCCACCACATCTCCACTATCTAGGTCCACCACCCATCACATGCCCATCACGTCCCTACCATCCCCCAACTACCCAGACCCACCACCCCCTGCATCCCCACCACCTCGACAACCCCTTGTCACGTCCCCACCACCCAGACCCAACCACTCCACTCTGTTCTCATCATCACCAAGACCAACCGCCCAACCACCCATCCCACCCCCACCACCAAGGTCCACCACCCATCACAACCCCACGCTCATCAAGACAAGCTGCCCATCATGTCACTACCATGCGTCACATCCCCACCATCCAGATCAACCACTCCACTGCGTCCTCACCACCACCAAGACCACCTGCCCATCACATCTCCACTGCCAAGACCAACCGCCCAACCACTCATCACATCTCCATTACCAAGGTCCATCATCTGTCACGTCCCCATGCCCAAGACCAGCTCCCCCTGCATCTCCACCACTGCCAAGACCAACCGCCCTGTCACATCCTCACCAACACCACCCACCCAACCACCCATCATATCTCCACTACCAAAGTGCGCTACCCATCACACCCCCACCATATCCCTACCATTCCCCAACTACACAGACAACCATCCTTGGTCCCCACCACCCAGACTCATCACCTCCTACACCTCCCCCATCCAGAAACCCCTTGTTACGTCCCCTCCACCCAGACCAACCACTCACCATGTCCCCACCACCCATCACATCCGTGCAACCAAGGCCAATAACCTTGACAACCTCCCTTCATCCCTAACACTGAGACCCACCATGCATCATGGCCCCAACACCACTGCCAACTGCCCAGAGAACAACCCACCCCGTCCCCACCTCAAGATCCACCACCCACCATGTCCTCACCACCCAAAACACCCACCCCCTGTGTCCCTGCCACCCAGAGAACAACCCACCGCGGCCCCACCACCCGCATGAAGCCTCATCCATCACTTCCCCACCACCACCACCAAGATCAACCCACCCTTGACTCCCCTGCCACCGCCAAGACCAACTGCCTGGACAACCACCCACCACGTCCCCACCACCTATCATGTCCTCACCGACTGCTCCCTGCAGCTCCAGCACCCAGACAACCATGTGTCATGTCACCACCTCTAAGATCCACCAGGCAACCACTCATCGCTTCCCACTACCAAGACCACCCATGGCATCCCCACCACCACTCAGATAAGCCAACTCCGAGACCCCCACCGCCACGCAGACCAACCCTTGCCCGCTGTGTCCCCAAGACTGACCCATCCCTGACACGGCCCCACCGCCACCAAGACCACCACCACCACGGCCAACCCCGCCTCCTCAACGTCCCCACCGAGACCACCACCACCACGGCCAACCCCACCTCCTCAGCGTCCCCACCGAGACCACCACGGCCCACCTCACCTCAATCTCCCCACCGAGACCACCACCGC